GTTTCGCTTCTTGCGTAGGTAGGCCTCGAGAGCATTCACGGCTTCATCGAGGGTGGTGGTGGTAGAAATATGAAGGCGGCCTGATTGCCAAAGGATGGTCCATTCGGAATGGAGGGCGGCACGCAAAGTCACTTGCTGTGTGGATAGCGGGAAGGTGGCTACTTGTTGGGCGTCCACGTAGTCGTTCCAACGTTGTTTCCAATCGCGGAAAGAAGACATCGTTAACCTCCTCCGGGGAAGCCAGTTTAGGAAGCTGGATGATTTTTGTGGCGTGGTGAGGAGGAGCTCCTAATGGGACTGTCGGTGTCGGATTCCGAGTAGCCATCTGCTGCAACAGTGCGGCTATGGACCTGAGGATGTCGGTGCTGGTCGGCGAGGCAGGGTTCTCTGGAGGGGTTTGGGATGGTCGGCGATTCCTTCTTGAGGGCATCTTGATTACTAATTGTCACTGAGCTGTCACTTAAAAAACGGCTATAATTAACCGAATGTCGACTGCGCCATGTTCTACCGCGTTAGGGTAAAGGTTCGAGCTGCAGTGAGAACTATAAATTAATAATTTATATTTTAATAAGTGTCCAAAAATTACGTACAATTATAAGAGGCAGATGGAGTACAGTTTTTACTCCACCAGCGCCTAGAGTATTATATAATGGAAGGAACCGCCGTAGGTTGTCGAGACGCGCGGGTAAACAACCCGCGACATCAGGCGGTGTTCGAAAAGTGCGCGCGCAGCCTGCGCGCGCAGGCCGGCTGGCCAGCCGCCGTCCCAGGCCAGTGTCGCCCGCTGGCATCCTCTTATCTCAGTGGTCATGGCATCTGCCCGGTAAGCGGAAGGTCGTGGGTTCGATTCCCATCCCTTGACCTTGTATACATCTTGCTTCCTAGGGTTGCCTAGAGTGGCCGCTATAGACAGGGTGGTCTGTATAGACAGGTGGATGTATCACACAGCTGATAACAGGGTTGCCTAGAGTGGCCGCTATAGACAGGGTGGTCTCTATAGACAGGTGGATGTAGCACACTGATGATAACAGGGTTGCCTAAAGTGACCGCTATAGACAGGCTGGTCTGTATAGACAGGTGGATGTATCACACAGCTGATAACAGGGTTGTCTAGAGTGGCCGCTATAGACAGGTGTATGTATCACACAGCTGATAACAGGGTTATCTAGAATGGCCGCTATATACAGGGTGGTCTGTATAGACAGGTGTATGTATCACGCTGCTGATAACAGGGTTGCCTAAAGTGACCGCTATAGACAGGGTGGTCTGTATAGACAGGTGAATGTAACACACTGATGATAACAGGGTTGCCTAAAGTGACCGCTATAGACAGGGTGGTCTGTATAGACAGGTGGATGTAGCACACTGCTGATAACAGGGGTGTCTAGAGTGGCCGCTATAGACAGTTGGATGTAACACACTGCTGATAACAGGGTTGTCTAGAATGGCCGCTATAGACAGGGTGGTCTGTATAGACAGGTGGATGTATCACACAGCTGATAACAGGGTTGTCTAGAGTGGTCGCTATAGACAGGGTGGTCTGTATAGACAGGTGTATGTATCACACTGCTGATAACAGGGTTGCCTAAAGTGACCGCTATAGACAGGGTGGTCTGTATAGACAGGTGGATGTAGCACACTGATGATAACAGGGTTGCCTAAAGTGACCGCTATAGACAGGGTGGTCTATATAGACAGGTGGATGTATCACACAGCTGATAACAGGGTTGTCTAGAGTGGCCGCTATAGACAGGGTGGTCTGTATAGACAGGTGGATGTAACACACTGCTGATAACAGGGTTGTCTAGAATGGCCGCTATAGACAGGTGTATGTATCACACAGCTGATAACAGGGTTGTTTAGAGGGGGGCAGGGAGGCCACGTGTTCGCCGGCAGCCAATGGGTGCGCATTCTATCCGTGAACTTCAGACAGTGAGCTTCAGACAGTGAACTTCAGACAGACAGAATAAGGCAATTATATAAGTAGATTATTGTTTCTCTTTTTATTTTTGATTACTTTTTCTTGTATATGTTTATAACTGTTTTAAAAAAATGTAAACCGACGCAATTATCCCTAGCCGGGATATTGCCTTTTGTGTGTTGAAATAAATAAAAAAAAGGTGATTAATTTGAGAATTTCAAATAAAGTTTTATTATACTAGACAAATATGTATTTTTTATACATTTTGTACATTTCTATAAATTATTGACCTCACTATGTATATTTTTACATTTTAATATCTATTTTTCAATAAAAATATTTTATTTCTTCTAATATATCTTTGAATATATTGCTGAAATATATATTTAAAAATTATTTAATATTAATGTTATTAATATAGCATGTTTTATGTGTATAATAAAATTATATTTTGTATTTTATAATAGGAAATTTTCGATTTCAAACGTATATTTAAAAGTATCCTACCCAAAAGGTTATATTGTAGACGTAGGAAAATGTGACAAAAAATATCTTGAATCAAATGTTTTTATTTTAAACGAATTATCTAAAAATTATTTTCCAAGGAGAATTAAATTTTCCTACAGATAAATTAAAATATATATTTCTTTATAATTCTTTCGAAAATGTGACGAAAAAATCTTGAATCTTGAATCAAATACAATATAACGCGGCTGATGATTGTAAAACGAAAATTGCAATTAAACCGCGAATGTTTCTTTTAAACAAAAATCGAAATTTATTTTAAAGAGAAATAACGACTATTTCTAACTTTAAGTTTTTTGTTTAAAAGAAACATTCGCGGTGTAATTGCAATTTTCGTTTCTTGAATCAAATGTTTTTATTTTACGCGAATTATTTAAAAAATATCTTGAAGTAGAATTGAATTTTTCTACAAATTTATTTAAATATATATATTTCTTTATAGTTATTTTATGCAAAAATAGAGAAAATTTAATTATTCAAATATATATATATTAAACACCTTTTATAATTCATCGAAAGAAAAAAATTGCGTCTTTAAAAATATAAATAAATTATATATTTATGGTTAAAAATTAATAATTACTGTATATAAACGAGAAATTTGAATATTCTATGTAAATATTATATAATATATATAACCAAAAGATATATAACTACTATAATATTTCATTATATATAAATATAATCAATATATAAATATAGTTTCTAATAATTGGTCACTCAATAAAAAGAACGATTTAATTTGAATAATTCCATCTTATGTCTTTTTTAACGATCACAGAAATTGCCTTTTTCAATCACTACGCCCTTTCAATCATTTATTTTAATTTAGACTGATCTATTAGACACGCATCATTAGGGTGTCTTATGCGAAAGAAAGAAAGAAAAAAAAATCTAAGAGTAAACACACACTGGATTTTTCCCTAAATTAAACTTTTTCAATTGATTCTAAACTTCGTCTGTTTTCTTGGAAGTTCTTTATGATTTTTCTATATCTTTTCCGTTTAATTCTCTCTCAATATAGCCTCCCGACTATTAATTAAAAAGGTTATTTGGTGTGAATATATTTACCTTGCATCATTATTCACACCATTAATTTCGACCTCTTCCATTAATCACAATCCAACTTTGGAGATGCTTTTTTTTATTAATTGGTTTCAAAATGAAAAGCAATTAAGAGTAATAATTAACTAAAGATTTATAAAAAATGATTTTTTTTATGTTAGCAATCAAGTTTTTTTTTTCTCTCTGTAATGAGTATAACAATTTTATTTTAAATATGTCGCTTGGTTTTTTAAATGGATTGCTCTCCTGATTGGTTGCTTGGTGAAATTTTGGCGGGAGATTTGGCCACGCTGATTAAAATTACCAAGCTATCTTTTAATTTGTCTAAATTTGTATTTTGTTTTTGATTGGCTGTATTGATATCTCGCTTTTTTTAATTTATCTGAATTTGATTTTAATAAGTAAATATATTAAAATATTGATCTTTTATTTATATATTAAATATATTTTTAAAAAACGTATTATTGTTTATTATATTAACGTACTATTATTTTTAAAAATTGTTTATTTTTAAAAAGAATCATATGCGTCTATAATAGTTTCGAATTTTGATAACAGATGGCGCGCTAATGCATCATAAATATATATATATTTTATATAACGAATGAAGACATTAAGACGCGAATGTTTCTTTTCACAAATAAATCAAATTTCTACTGTCCTTACTGCGATGAAAGAATATTGGAAGGGCTTGGCTAATCAGTGGTGAACCCTCTAAGTGGTTTCACCAATTCAATCTACCAGACCGCTTCTTTAGAGCTCTAATACGCGTACTGTATGGGATCATTCTGCTTTTATATGCTACACTGAATGATGGAATCTTAGAAATGTCATTTAAGCAAACTATGGACATAAGCTTTTAGGACAGTAGATTTACATTTTTTTCATCGCAGTAAGGGCAGTAGAAGTTAGATTTATTTGTGAAAATAAACATTCGCGTCTTATTGTCTTCATTCGTTATATATAGATGGCGTGTTATTGTGTTGTATTAATTTATGCCTAACTTGTCCTTATTGTTTGTGGAAGAGCATTGCTCGATGCAAATATTCAAATACAATTCTACTGTCCTAAAGGCTTATGTACATAGTTTACTTAAATACCATTTCTAAGATTCCACCTTTCAGTGTAGCATATAAAAGCAGAATGATCTAATACAATATTAGAGCTCTAAAGAAGCAGTCTGGTGGATTAAATTGGCGAAACCGCTGGGAGTGTTCACCACTGATGAGCCAAGCCCTCCCAATATTTTTTTTTATCACAGTAAGGACAGTAGAAATTTGATTTATTTGTGAAAAGATAACACATTCACGTCTTAATGTCTTCATTCTTATACATGGTGCGTTATTGCTTTGTATATATATTAACTATATTTAAATATTATATATATTAACATACACCAATACCTCGCTTTGCGTCGTTTCGTTTTGCGTTTTTTTCGAAGTTGCGTCGCTGCTTAATTTTTACTGATTTTCACTGTGCGCCGTTAGATTTTCGAAGTTGCGTTGTTTTGGATTCGAGACTTTAATTTTTTTCCCTAAAATATGGCAACACCTTTGTTTTTGATTGCGCCATGCCATCAAAATTTTATTTTCACTTTGCGTTGTTTCAATTTGCGTCGTTTTTTTTTTGGAACATAACCCCGACGCAAAGCGAGGTATGGGTGTATATAATACTTATCCCTATTTGTATTATACTTTAAATGTAATTTGTATATAATTTTTATATTTAATTAAAAAGGCATATATATTGGTTAAAAGTAGCATTTATGTTACCAATATTTCAGTTGGCTGAACGCCAACCTTTATCAAGGTATTATAACATATTTAATGTGTTTAAATATAACACCTTGATAAAGGTTGGCGTTCAGCCAACTGAAATATTGGTAAAATAAATGATATTTTGATTAAAATATATGCCTTTTTAATTAAAGATTTATTTATGAATTGCTCTATTTTCAAAACAATTTTTTATATGTAAACTTATACATTTAGAGATGATATTTAAAAGAAACGCATTGCCAGTGAATTTATTTGTGTAAAGTTTTAACGATAGATGGCAATAAAATTTAATTTACTAATATATATTGGTTATGAAAACATATTTTGCGGAAGAGCTTTGCTCGATGCAATACCTTGAAATTATATGTATGTACCTTTACAGACCTATAAGCTTATGTCCATAGTTCACTAAACACCCCTAAGCTGCCTTCCATAGAAAATGCAGGGTATATAACAAAACTAGTCCAATACAATAGTAGAGCGGTCTAGAGATTAATTTGGCGAAACCGCTGAGAGGGTTCACTACTGATGAGCCAAACCCTCTCATTCAATAACTCATAACATTGCAGTAAGGT